GTTGGAGAATGCAATCACTATCCAATTTAGGGTCACAGCGGAGCTGGAGCCTGTCCTGGCCAGCAACAGTCACAAAGCAGGGTACACCCTGGACAGGACAGCAGTCCATCACAGGGCACACAGACACACACCTCGGCCACCCTTCTCGGAAGACAATTAACCCACCACACACTGCTGCACTGGAGTAGGTCCGTAAGGTCTGGTACCCTAGCAGTGGGAGCCCCAGCCCAGTCAGTCCAGTGGTCTTCAGCCCTGGTCCTGGAGAGACCCAATCCAGTCAATCTTATACTGTAAGTTACCTGTTTCTAAAGCCTAGAAAGCCTGTATAATTAAAAGACCTCTGGTCCCTGTCCAGGACCAGTGAAAACATGTATCACTCAGAATGTGGCCTCAAATGATCTCCAATAACTTAATTATCTCTGAATTGCTTAATGTAGCATGTCATCTGTTTGATTGATCATAATAAAATTGTTCCCAATCTTTAGAGCAGTGGATCCCAGTCCTGGTCCTGGAGGAACAGTCTTCTGTTTTTTTGCTCCAGCTGAGATCTCAATTACAGGCTCACTGATTTCAGTTTTCTGTGTGGGCCAGATTTGCACATTTGCTTTCAGCTCTTAAAAGGTCAGATGGGATTTATAATTGGGACCAATGTAGTATTAATTCAGGTTTGCTGCCTGAAATCTAGCTAACCAGATGTCTGCAGAAGGAAAAACAGATTCTTTATGATCGTGTATGCCTAATACAATATCACTCCCACTGTGGGCATGCCTGATACAGTATCACTCCAGTTGTGGACGTGTCTGATACAGTGTCACTTCTGCTGTGAAAGTGTCCGATACAGTGTCACTCGAGCTGTGGGCTTGTCTGATACAGTGCCACTTTCAATGTGGGCGTGTCAGATACAGTGTCACTCACACTGTGGGTGTGTCTGATGCAGTGTCACTCCTGCTGTGGACGTGTCTGATACAGTGCCACTTTCAATGTGGGCGTCAGATACAGTGTCACTCCTGCTGTGGACGTGTCTGATACAGTGTCACTCGCATTGTGGGTGTGTCTGATAGTGAGTCACTCCCCAGCCATGTGTGTGCTCCTCACCAACTGATCAACTAGTCAGAGCTGCTGAATCAGAAGACACAGCCAGCAGATTGAGGAGAGGCTGTGTGAGGCTCTGGGAGCTGAAGCTGTAGGAACAGTGCCCTTCAGCTGGGGTATTTCTGACACACAGGACTGACTGGAGAAACGGGTTCAACACAAGTCTCAGCCAGCAAGCAGGCCAGTGACTGTAAGTCACCAGTTAGCACTGGAGATGGAATGAGAACCAGCAGACACAGTGTTCCTGCAGGGAACCAGTGCTTTAGACATGATGATCTCTTGGTGATGTTGCAAAAAAACCTTCTGGATTGCAGGTCTCCAGGACCAGGGCTGGAGATCCCTGGCTTATAGGAATTGGACTGGGAGAGAGAGGGTTCAGGATGGGGATTAGAGGGAGGGACAGAGGAATAGAGGAAAGAAAGAAAGGCAGTACATGAGAAATAAATGTGGATGCAAAACAAAATTGGAATTCAGTGACAATACACAACAGGCAAAACAAAATCTTCTGGAGCTTTTTAAAAATCTTTATTTTGGTCAAAAAACATATTATTTTGTCTCATTCTATTTTCTCTTTAAAAAAGCAGATAGAACATCATTTGTACAAAAAAGGAAATCTGAGGTCTGTACATCTCTCATGAGCGTTATTGCTATTCGTTTACAGTCACAGGTCAGCTTGGGGCTTAATGTGGACCAAATCTGTCCCCTTTTCATACAAAATTAAACTTTATATTCAGGGAGGGGGTGACAAAATAGGACACCCCAAAAGAGAGGCTTCTTTCTTATTAAATGTCTTACTGAAAATAGATCTGCGTTCATATTTTCATACAAAATGAGGAATTTGCATAGTCAAATGGATTATTGCTGCTTTTAAACTGTTAACGTTTCACCTGCTCTCAGGAGAGCGCTAGCTGTGCTAGCGAGGCAGGACAGGGTGGAATGGAATGACAAAGCTCCCTTTCTTGCCACTTGTTTCTGACATTCACCGCTGGGCTCGTGCAGTTTGTTTCCTGTCTAACCCTCCTCGATCTAGAGGTGCCAGTCCTCAGGTGACTGGGGACAGTCCTGTCTGCGGCACGGGAGGATGTCAGACCCAATCGCAGCCCCCCTACTTGTGGGCCTTCTGCAGTTTCACTCCGTCAGCCCTGCTGCCCCTACAGCCAGCAGCTCCGACAGCTGTGGCATCTGATGGAGGGCAGATACAGCCCCCACTGGCTACTCCTCCGGTTCCGTTCTTAGCAAGCCAATGCAGCTGCAGCCCACACTGAACCAGACCTGAACTAAGTCATTGCCACACGTGTTGAATGACTCTGTGGCCTGTACCAAATCAGTTTCTCTGCACCAGCACCCAATAGCCAAATCAAGCCAAGCCAGTCTGCTTTGCGCTGAAGCAAGAAACCACTGAAAATCAGAAATCTGCTTGATGTTGAGTCCTGGCCGCTAACCCCACTGGTGAGTTTTCAGTTTCCTCTGAGCCTTCAGGACTTGGTTCTCCAGGACCAGGAGAGAGGAGCCTCAGTCGAAAGGCATGTACAGGGTTTCTTGGAGCTAGTGCAGTATAGAATATAGAATATATAATATATATGAATAACGTTTCTTTTCTTAAGTGCGCTGGGGGAAATATTTACAAAACCAAAACTGAAAGATGACAAAAAACAATACAAAAAAGACAAATAAATAATTTATATACTTTAACGTAAAACACTGGCAAATGACTCTATAGGCAGCCCAGGCTGCCTGGACAGAGACTGGACAGCAGAGAGATCTGGGCCAGAAGACACCCCCTGTCACTCACTCTTCCGTTCTTGGGGCCCCAGAACACGTCTTCCAGCCATCTACCTAAAATCAGGGGGCTCCTAGCGGATCCATAAACTTCTTATTTGAACCCCAACCCTACACTCCACTCTAGCCTGAGCCCCGAACTCAACTCTAGCACTAATCATAGCTCGGCCTCAGCTCTAAGCCCTAGACCCGATCACAGACCCAGTCATAACACAAACCAGACCAGGACTTCCAAACCCTGACCCCAGTGCCTGCTGGGATTCGATTCAGCTGCTTCCTTAATTAGACCCTTCTCTAAATGCATGGTTTGTTTGTTTGTTTGTTGACCCTATGTTGTAGCTGTCAGTTCCTGAAAAGTCTCCGATCTTTAGTTAAATCCAACAAGGTGAAGTTATCTTGAAATCCCTACGAGTTTGAGGGATAAAAATCTTGGCAGTTCTTCATTGATAAAAGTACCAGCTTGATAACCAGCTTGTACCAGCCTTAATGCAGTAATAAAACCCTTTCCTTATCCCTATGCCAGACTCACCACATCCACTCTCTCTAGAGCAACAGTCCAACTTTCGATAGGTCAATCATCAACAACAGAGGAACCAGGAAGAGTTACTAGAACTCAATTAAGGCTTAATTGGACCAATTTATCCCTCTTCTCCAGGTCTGGAGCTGGAAGAGGGACTTACAACACCTGCAGGACTGTTGCCTCCCAGAGAGTAAACATGGGGAACCATTGATTAGGCCTGACCGTACCCACAGGCCTCACTGTGCCCTTACCCATAGTCCCCCTGCTCTACTCTAACGCTGACCCAGCCCTGGACTGCAGCTGGTCCACTGCATCTGCTGGAGCTGCGGTTGTTCAGATACTTCCGTATCTGGTTTTAACCAGATTGCTTCAGATCTCCTGAGTCCTGTGCCGGACTGTGTAAGCAGCCCTTAATCCTGTACAGGGCTGTGTCAGCACTCCCGAATCCTATACTGGACTTCATCTGGACTGGACTACATCAGCGCCCCCGAATCCTGTACTGGACTGCGTCAGCGCCCCGAATCCTGTACTGGACTGCATCTGGACTGGACTACATCAGCGCCCCCGAATCCTGGACCAGACAATCTCGGTGCCCCTGTAAATTCTGCCAGTGTGCAAACAACACGTATAACCACAAAAAAACAATACAAATAACAATGCAAATAAATATTAAATAAAGGTTTAAATAGACAAATTTGTACATTTATAGTAAATAGCAATTATGACACCAAAGAATCTTTCCGGGGCGGGGAGCAATGAGGTCTGGCTCACATGTAAGTATTGCTCCCCGGACGCAAACAGCTCCCAGAGTCCAACGCCTCATTCCGAGGTTGCCTAGCTCCGGAGTGGGAGCGTTTTGGAAACAACTTCCGGACTCCAATTATTGGCCCAAAATCTGGCACCTTACAGATACATGTTTTAACTATTTCATTTTTTTAAGAAAATAAAGGGGCATCTTGATTTCCCATCAAGGAGAGAGAAGTCATGGGAACGCCCTGGCTGGAAGAGGGCTTCTCCGATGTCCGTGTGCCACGCAGCTGGCTCTGACACCCCCCCTTTGTCCGCGGGACGGCCCGCGTCCCGCTGGCCCGAAGTGCTGGTGGGTCTGAAAGCCACGATCTCCACTCTGTCTCCGTCTAAAAGAGAAGATTTTCCTCAAGCGTGGAAGGACACAGGACCTCTCGATGCCGTCTGTATCCCAGAACTAGGGAACGGAATGAAGCTGTCTGTTTTTCCCAACACACTTGCGGCTCACAGTGCCCTCCTGCCAGCTGCTGGGAGCCACAGAGGTGGGGAAGGGCAGCGGGGGTACAGATGCAGTCACACCCCGCCCTGCGAAAAGGGAATCTCGGAGAGTCCCAGAATACATCCAAAGGGAATCTCGGATAGCCCCAGGACACTTCTGAAGGGCATCTTGGATAGCCCCAGAATACTTCCAAAGGGAATCTTGGATAGCCCCAGGATACTTCCAAAGGGAATCTTGGATAGCCCCAGGATACTTCC